TAGGTAGGGCAATGCCCACTTTTGGTGCAGGTCAAGATTTCTGGAAACCCCCGAAATCTGGCGTAGCCCGCTTGTCCTTAAAAGCGACCATATACGCCTATTACACATATCTATAACACAAATACACGCTACGAAAATGGAACGTTCGGTTCATACTACACCATGGTGATAAACGATACAGTGGAGTCCACTTATAACGAGCCCGGAAAAACCGAGAATCTGTTATAAAGACACTCTACTAAAACCCCGTTTTTTCTATTCTTTATCTTTGTAAATAAAATACTGCTATAGCGCAATCAGATAAATGCGTGAGTCGGTTATAGCGGAATATCACTGCTGCTGTGCACAGTGCATAGGCCAATACATAATATAAAACCTCGCCAGTTGAGAAACTTGTTGGTGATCTATCGAAACAAAGAATGGGAGAGCCCATGTGTGTCAACAATGCAGGCCGGAACGACTGAGTAGGGGGAGGGTGTGACATGCGCAGATAAGCAGAACGTATCGCGTGGTAGGGATTATCAAGGCCTACCAGGCCTCTCACTTCTCCTATACGGGGATGGAGAGGTCACAGCAATGTGATAGATGGAGTGAATGTGTGACGTGCGCAAGCAGACGGAATGCACCACATGGTGTGGTGGGGTGGGGGAAAACACAGCGGGCGAGTTAGCCTAGAGCCCGTCCCTTCTGATCGCCAACGCCGAGCTGTCAGTCAACATCACTAGCGCTAGAGAAAGAAACCTGATTCGATTTTTGGTCAAGTAGGACCTAGAGGTCATGTTGGGCAAAATCATCATCAGGGAATATAGCAAAAAGAACTAAACAGAACGCCAAACTCATAGATTAGGCCTACTTTATTACTTCCCTTGAATTTATTACTGGATCCCTTATAGCGAGAATCCTGCTATAACGGACATTTTGAACCGGTCCCATCCCTCTCGTTATAACAGGATTCCACTATTGATTTATAGAATTACCAGTTCTGGCTGGCCGCAGAGAAAAACAGAATGCAGGAAATACAAAAGTTCTTTTTCCCCATTTTGGTCTATTATTTGTAATAAAGTTCAGATTTAAACATCACGAAGTCCACACTTTGTCACCTCACGTGAGAGTGCCAAGTGTCAGTCCAAAAGAAAATCTCGAACTCTTTCTTCCCATACACGCATGCTCATTCCTTAATTAATAATTTAAAGTATAGAAACTAAACTAAAAGAACGACTTTTAACAAAACAGGCATCAAAGAATAGCGCACGCTCACCCGTACTAATCCTATTCTAACCCGTACCTTTCTAAGAGAAAACAAAAACAAAACAAAACAAAACCTCACGATAGTATTCCTAATTTTACGCAAAAGCTTTGGTAACTGTATACTATTAATCCACAGCTTCCAATGACACATGTATTCGGAAGGACTGACCTGAGAAGGGTGGTATGCAAGGAGGCTATCTCGTTGACCTACTAACACAAAGTACCTGGTGACATAATCTATCCAGATTATTGCCCCGCCCATTCTGTGTTTAGACACTATTTATAACAAGAAGCCGCGAGTCATTGGCCCCTACTCAGCGATATTTTTCAACCAGACGTAACGTAAAATTAGTTCAGCAATGCACCCCCCCCCCCCAGCAAAGCCTCAACAATAATAATTCTTTGAATTATAAAACTTTTCGTAATGAACTTTCGGGGTCAGAAAAATGGGTCTCCAACTCTAACGAGGTCAAGGATCAATTAACTAGGTCACGGAGTCACTGTCCTCCATCATTCTCCTCATCGCGTAGAGAGCACGAAATATCCTCATGGGCTGAGACGTCGGTGTGACTCATTCACCAACATCATTTATGAAACAAGTGGATAATTTCAAATAACAGTCCCCTCCACTGAAGAACAAGGAAAAGAAGAAGAAGAAGAAGGAGGGGGAGGAGGAGGAGGAGGAGGAG